TCCAAGACTGAGGGACTGTGTTACCTAATCTTTTGTAAGTAGTTCTACATCCTACACATTATGTCTTTATATTGACAAAGTCACTGGATGGCGAAACGTCTATAAATAAAGATACGCAGATGTTGTACCAGGGTTTCCCCTTCTTTGCTGTTCAGTTACTATTTTCTTGATTACCTTTTCTGGTATTTTGTACAGTATGCATGTCAGTGATGCTGCCCTATAATCCAGTGCCTCCTGTCTATTTGCTCTTGCTTGTATATCGGGATCATGTCTGGTGCATGCGTTCGTGTATGTATGTGCATGCATGCGTGCGTAGGGGCGTGTACATGCGCTCACACTGAGACACTAGGGCATTGTGACAGAAATTAATATCTGGTCTATGTGAGGTAGAGAGAAGAGAACCTGCGTGTAGCTTTTTATGTAACTAGATTTTTTAATATTCACAATCTCACTGCTTTTAACAAGTACAATATAATATATATATATATATATATATTATATAATATATATATTATATATATATATATATAATATTATATATATATATATATATATTATATATATAATATATATATATATATTCTTCTTTCAACAAACTGGCCATATCACCTCACGACCTCACACCCGACCCAGTGTTATGAAGGACCTGTCATGCATAGCTTAAATTCCTCACAGATTCTGTTAATTATAAATGAATCTAATTTATATAACCCTGAACTAATATTCATATTAAAATCAATGCTATTGCTAATGAAACTTGATTCAGTTATATTTCTCTCAACCATAGACCTGCTTGAGGTGATATCTCAGCCTTATAAGCTTTTGCTATTCTATTAATTTTACAGGTCCTAGAGAATGTGAGAAATCACGAAAGCTTTTGGAAGCTCACATGTTTATATACACACCAGACAATTCGCGTCTGTGTACTCACCTAATTGTGGTTGCAGGGGTAGAGTCATAGCTCCCGGTCCCGCCTCTTCACTGGTCCCTACTACTAGGTCACTCCCTGCTCGGTGAGCTTTATGATACCTCTTCTTAAAGCTATATTTGGTTCCTGCATCCACCACCTCCCTTTCCAAACTATATTTCAGTTTCCTGACCACTTTGTGACTGAAGAAATACTTCCTAACATCCCTGTGACTCATCTGAGTCTTCAACTTCCAATTGTGACCCCTTGTTGGTTTGTTCCATCTGTGAAACATCCTGTCCCTGTCCACCTTGTCGATTCTTCTCAGTACTTTATATGTTGTTATCATGTTTCCCCTGTCCTCCAGTTTGTTGTACGCCAAACACAACTGACACCTGTATTGTGCGCCAGACATCACGCAACTTGTGAGCAGTGTACGCCATCTGAAGCCAACCACTGGCTAATATATTTTTGAATAGAGGAAGTGAATTTGATTATCAGTCAGTGGAGGGTGTCTAACAGAACATTGTTAACACACCGTCGAGGCGCCAGATGCCTCTAATAGCAATCTGTTCCATCGCTGACCACCATAATGTATTTATCGATTAATGATTTGGCGAGGCTTTTAGCGGTAATTCAGAAAAAAAAAATCCATAATAATATTGCATTTCTTTTATATGAACTTAACCAACTTTAGTTTGCTGTTTGCTACAGCCTATTGCATTCAATGTTCAAGATAAGAGAGAGAGATAGATGAGATTTAGTTCGGATTTTTAACCCCGGATGGTTAACCATCCAGGATTACCCAGGAAAGTCAATTACTTTAATATGTTTATTATGCGCCCCATACCCATCCTGTGGGCGGTAGTCAACAGATTACAGAGGTACATAATGGGTCCAGGGACTGGGCCCCAAAGTTTTGATAGCTGAGCAAGTTACAAAGGTAATGAACTCCAGGTAGATCTGGTCACAATCATGACATCAGTGCGTCATCAAGGACTTTCTTATTTCCATTATGGTACTACTTATACTACCTACCTTACCTCTCCAGGTTGCCTATATATATAATTAAAATTATTATAATTATGACCACAATTTTTGAAGGTGTGGAGGGGTAAGCCAGCGGAAGGCCTCCGTCAGATAACCAAAAGCTCCAGCTGTGGGTCATCACATGACTAAGACCCGCGTCAGGAAACACTTATCCTGTTTCCTGACAACCCTTACCTTACCTAGCTTAACCTAACCTTACCTAACCTAACCATCCTTTCTGTTAGTGTCTTTGTAAATGGTCTAAGTCGGACCGAAACGTCGTCGTAAGTTCCTCTCTCCTATGTGTGGGCTATTTGTGTATTCCATTGGGGTTCTTCAATCTTGTCCCCCAGGATGCGACCCACACCAGTCAACTAACACCCGTGTACCTACTTGCTTGCTAGGCGAACGGGGACAACAGGTGTAAAGAAACACGCCCACTGTTTCCACACTTGCCTGGTATCGAACCACGAACACTATGTGTGACGTGAGTGTGTTACCTACCATGCCGAGGGCATCAGTATCTTAATTTTTTTATCAAAGGTGCAGAATAAAGGTTTCTTGGCTAACTTCATTATTCACTCAAGATTGAAGGTTGAGCGCAATGAGGGAGAACCTTGCTGCCTGTAAAGGGCTCTTGAATGGGTATATGCGTGGGTATGAGTTGAACCTGCCTAGCATGGGCCAGTAGATGGTGTATGACCCCCTGCTGGTACAGTATTCCCTCATAAATAAAACATTCACATGAACGGATCTTGCTGGATTTCCTGCTCTATTTCTGCAAGATTGCAAGCTCCTGATGATGTGTTGATTACAATACGGAAGGCCTAGAGGCGTACACACTACAGAACTATTACCAAAATTATATATTACTCCCGAAGGAGCATTAAAAATAATAGTGTTCAGATGTCATACATTACAGGAGTATCACTTCACTCAGTACATATGAGAAACCATACACACAGGAGATATAATAATACTCAATGTTGACTCATACACATATGAGCATAAATAGTTTCTGCCAGATGGAAGGTCATCTTCAAAATTAATAATATCTTTATAAATTGTACGTGGTATTTATGTAAAATATATTAATTAACCGAGTACAATATAAAAATAATGCAAAAAAATGAGATAAATTCATGAATATATTTTTTACGTAAAACTAATAAAACAGTTTTCTAATAATAAGCCTTTTTTTAAAATATAAATGACAAAAATATATTAGAAATAATTGTTATTAAATTGTTCCTAATTTGATATGTGATTCTAGTGTATTTAAATATTTAGTATGATTCGTTCTGTTGAAATTCTTATTAAATGTTTTTATTGGAATTATTTTAGATGGTTGAATTTTATGTAAACATTATTCATGCAATTCTCTTCAAAATATATATAAACTAATTTAAACCTAAACAAACATATCAATTAATCAATCACACAGCCATCAAGTTGGATTCTAAAATACATTGCTGGGAAATCCGATAATCTCAGAATCATATTTAGGATTTCCTTGCAAAAATTAAAATTATCTGACGTATAGAAAATGGCAAACCTGGTTGCTAGAATTAATAGGGGTAACTAAATAAAACATGAACACCAGGTTTAGGTTAGGTAAGGTTTGTCAGGATACAGGACAAGTGTTTCCTGGCGCGGGTCTTAGTCATATGATGGCCCACAGCTAGAGCTTTTGGTCATCTGACCAAGGCCTTTCCCTGGCTCACACCTCCACCCTAGTACTAAATTTACTTAGGCTCTGGTGGCCTGGTGGCTAACGCTCTCGCATCACACGGCGAGGGTTTGGGTTCGATTCCCAGCCAGAGTAGAAACATTGGACGTGTTTCTTTCCACCTGTTGTCTATGTTCCCCATCAGTAAAATGGGTACCTGGGTGTTAGTCGACTGGTGTGGGTCGCATCCTGGGACACTGACCTAATTTGCCCGAAATGTACCGAAATGCGGAGCATAACAAGGGACTTTCTATATACATAGTAGTATGTCATTGTTGTACATGTACTTGTAGTAAATAAAGATATTATATAGTAAGACACGTGTAGAGTTACCTAGGATAACCCAGAAAGTCAAAGTGACTTACTTCCATTGGGGGTCTTTGGTGGGCCCGTAAAATATGTATTATGTACATTTAAACCAGGATAACCAAATACGTATATAGAAAAAGCTTAAATTTATCTACATCTCAATGTATGTATATACCAATTCAGTAAGCTAAATAATTTATATACCTCTTAATTCGTACACACGACAATAAACATTGAGAAGTTCTTCAGTAGGCCTGCTGGCCCACATTAGGTAGGCCTATTTAGTGTGATTCACAAAAAAAAAATGCATACGGTATATTTGTGTTAGTCCAGTGCAATGAAACATTAGGTCCTTGATATATATTCCTGGTGTATATATGACAGACGTCTTTGATACATCAATATTTAGCCAGATTTCTCCATAGAGATATATTGGCAGTCTTCTGTGAGCATGTTGCAACAACATTTTGATTTACACATAACCTGCAATGCTGACACCAAAAACACGTTAAGATTTCTGAACAAGGTTCATTTAAAATGATGTAATTCAAAGGAAAATCGAAAAAAAGTGAATCTTAAAGTTGATTGTTGGAGGTCAGTGGACGGCGAGGCGCGGGGTGTCTAGACTAATGGAGAAGTTCCTGTTTGTTATGGCTCCTAGGCTTACTCCTCAGGCCTATGGCAGCATATCTAAATTACTTTTTCTTAAAACTATGTTTATTATGGAATAACTCAGCAATTTTGCTTTATATACGTTTGTGGCATGCAATAAGGGTGTGTTCTCATTGATTGCGCCAAAATCGATACAACATAGCTGACAACTGCATAATGTAGAGGAATATCAAATATTACATTTTTTCTCATGATAATATTATTAAAATATAAGAAAAAATGATGTAAATAAACCAAATCATGGCCTTGCTGTCCGCTCTCTAGCTGTAATTTACAACAATTCCAGTAATTAAGATATAATTAGATGTTGCAGTTGGTTGTCCTGGGTGGTGGGTGCGCATGCGCGTGAGGGCGGTCGGTTATAACCCGTCACCAGCGTCGCCAACACTCATTCTAACCCGAGAACCTTACAGTGATAGTCTAGTATTTTTCCACCATGAGAGAAATTGTGCACATTCAAGCCGGGCAGTGCGGCAACCAGATTGGGGCCAAAGTAAGTGTTGTGTCGCTTTTATGTCTTAGGCTGTGGCAACGTTGGTGGAAGGTTTTTATTGAAGTGAATTAAGTGTTAATCTCCCTCCCAGCCTGACTCAGCCTCACTCCCACTTGTTCCCAGTATGTACCCTAGTATATACTCTGAATTAATATTTCATTTGCGGTTATATCATATGTACTCGGTAATTTTATCAGTAATATGATTTAGAATCTCTGCTTCGTAGTTAAAAAAAAGAAGGTAAATTAATCAATTTAACGCATGTAGGAACCCTGGTATCACAGGCGTCCATACGTCGATCATTACGTTATATACTGTCGTGACCCTTTTCTCCGAAATACATGACTGATGTATAATCCATTAGAGCATACCACCTTCTTGTGAATATAAGAACGATACGAGAAATTCGTAATCTTGTAATGAATGACTTGTTCAAATGGGGAGAGATGAGATGTCAAAACTGAGTCACAGTTGGTGGGTGTGTTATTCTCATTATTGAGGATCCTGATGGTACAGCTGTTTTGACTTAAGAACATAAAAATGGAGCACTACTGCAGCAGGCCTACTGCTGAGACTGATTCACGAAATTGTAATAACACTATTATGGACATCACAGTCCGGTTGGAGATGCAACCCATGGTCTGTATATTTTAGAACTCGCCTGCTGTGGGTTCGATCCCTACCCATTCTGTGATTTGATGAATATAAGAATGTAAGAGCGCAGGAGCAGTGAAGCAGGCCTGCTGGCCTATACCAGAAAAATCTCAAATCCAGTCACTCTCTAGTTGAAATAATCTTCTAACCTAGTCTTAAAGGCTTCCCAAGAATCTAGCCGTAATAACCCTACTGTCCCTTCGTGTGGAAATCCAAATCAAATCCTATTTTTTTTCACTCGTATGTCTGTCTAATCTCTTGCATTGTATTAGTTATTTCAGATTCACTAATAACTGAAACACACAGAATTATATTCCATCACTGCCTAGAGTTAGACGAGTCTCTCAAAATTCATCGCATTATTGCAGTCTGTAGCTGTGCTAACATTCCAAAACTATAGTATAAGGGGTTAGAAAATTTATTTGTTATTTTCTCGTCTAACCCATTCGTTGAATTCCGTTTTTTGGGTAAAAAAAAAAAACTAACGTTTAGTGACTGGACTTCATCTAGAGGTGACCCAACAACACGAAATTTTCACCCCTTCCCTAAAAACCGGAAATTCCCATATATTATTATTATTTTAGAAGATATACATCAATTCGTTTCATATACTTCACTTCCCCTAGTGATAAAATGGAAATTCTCGCTTTATGAGGGAAGTTTGAGATGGTTGGGACGCCCCTACTGAAACCCCAGATTCTGAAATTTGATGTGGAATATTTTGTCTTTTGAGTGGAACATACCGACAAGCGTAAATTATTTACGTTTATCTTCGAGCAGGGTCTGAGATAAAATGCATGCAAGAAGAGATGAAATAGCTGGTTTCCATTCATACATATGCCTAGTCTCCCGGGTTCGGGATTCAACAGTTAGCTTGAGACTGATCGCGGATTCTAACCCCGCCCGTGGTGTTTTTTTTTTCTTTTAGTTATGGCTAACCACATACTTTTGTTGGGTGTGGCTGAGGGAGTCAAGGGTGTACTTTACTCCCTACTCTTGTAGGGTGAGGTATATAGGTTCGAATCCTCCCCAGGTCTAAGACAAAATGTAAATAATTTATCTTCGTTCCGGATTTCAGTTTATACACAGTGTTTATTTTACATTAGTGATTATTTTTGAATGGCACTATATAGGTGATATATATTATATTTATAATCGGGGGGAACACTAAATTCGTGGAAATCATACAGATCGTAAGGAATGGAAGGAAAAGTTCGATCCAAGGAAGGAAAAAATAGATCCAATTCCCCTGATCATGAGCCCCTTACCGGCTACACTCCCTCCTCGAAGAGGGAAAGGGGGTGTACCTGGAGTTTACCTGGAGAGAGTTCCGGGGGTCAACGCCCCCGCGGCCCGGTCTGTGACCAGGCCTGGTGGATCAGAGCCTGATCCACCACTCGGATTTAACCCCATTTATGGACACTGCTTCCTGTCAGTGAGCCATGACTCGATCCACGAGTGCACTTTTCCCCCAATGCCATGAGCTGCCACTTTCTTTAACAGTCTATGGTGCGGAACTCTATCAAAAGCCTTACTAAAATCTAAGTAAATAATATCAAATTCTTTATCGTGGTCAACAGCCTCAAAAGCTTTACTGAAGAAAGTTAATAAATTTGTTAGACAAGACCGGCCTCTTGTGAATCCATGCTGAGTATCATTAATCAAGCTTTGCTTATCGAGATGGCTTCTTATAATCTCAGCTATAATTGACTCTAGTAATTTGCCTACAATTGAGGTCAGGCTTATTGGGCGGTAATTTGACGGTAACGACTTGTCCCCTGTTTTAAAAATAGGAATTACATTAGCCATCTTCCACATATCAGACACTACACCTGTTTGAAGAGATAAATTAAAAATATTAGTTAATGGTTCACAGAGTTCCATTTTGCATTCCTTAAGAACCCTTGAAAAAACCTCATCAGGACCCGGCGACTTTTTTCTTCAGTCTGCTACTGCTTCACAACCATTTCACTATGACTGTGATTTACATAATTTATCTTCTAGCCCACAAATAAAAATTAATTACTGGAATATTTTTTAGTGTCTCCCTGTGTAAAAACTGAGAGAAAATAATTTTTTTAAAATCGAGCACATTTCATTCTCTTTGTCAGAAAGGGGTGCCCATATTTTATTTTTAAGGGACCTATCTTATCTCTAACTTTTGTTCTATAGACCTGGAAAAAACTTTTTGGGTTAGTTTTAGAATCCCTGGAGTTTACCTGGAGAGAGTTTCGGGGGTCAACGCCCCCGCGCCCGGTCTGTGACCAGGCCTCCTGGGGGATCAGCGCCTGATCAACCAGGCTGTTGCTGCTGGCTGCACGCAAACCAACGTACGAGCCACAGCCCGGCTGATCAGGAACTGCCTTTAGGTGCTTGTCCAGTGCCAGCTTGAAGACTGCCAGGGGTCTGTTGGTAATCCCCCTTATGTGTGCTGGAGGCAGTTGAACAGTCTCGGTCCCCTGACATTTAATTGTATGGTCTCTTAACGTGCAGTGACACCCTGCTTTTCATTGGGGGATGGTGCATCGTCCTGCCAAGTCTTTTGCTTTCGTAGTGAGTGATTTTCGTGTGCAAGTTCGGTACTAGCCCCCTCTAGGATTTTCCAGGTGTATATAATCATGTATCTCTCCCTCCTGCGTTCCAGGAATACAGGTTTTAAAACCTCAAGCGCTCCCAGTAATTGAGGTGTTTTATCTCCGTTATGCGCGCCGTGAAATTTTCTCTGTACATTTTCTAGGTCGCAATTTCACCTGCCTTGAAAGGTGCTGTTAGAGTGCAGCAATATTTTCCCGCCAGATAGAACAAGTGACCTGAAGAGTGTCATCATGGGCTTGGCCTCCCTAGTTTTTTAAGGTTCTCATTATCCATCCTGTCATTTTTCTAGCAGATGCGATTGATACAATGTTATGGTCCTTTGAAGGTGAGATCCTCCGACATAATCACTCCCAGGTCTTTGACGTTGGTGTTTCGCTCTATTTGTGGCCAGAATTTGTTTTGTACTCTGATGAAGATTTAATTCCTCATGTTTACCATATCTGAGTAATTGAAATTCTCATCGTTGAACTTCATATTGTTTTCTGCAGCCCACGAAATTTTTGGTGATGTCCGCCTGGAGCCCTTTCAGTGTCTCAATGGAAAACACTGTCATCAGATTCTTTTTTCATCTGCAAAGGAAACACGGTGCTGTGGCACATCCTTGTCTATTCGGATAGAATGAGGGAAAAAATGGGAGCAGTATGTGCTTGTGGAACAAACTTTTCACCGTAGCTGCCCCGGACTTACTCTGTTGACGACTACTCTTGTGTTTGTTAGTGAGAAATTTTAATCCCGACCAACTTTCCTGTTTTTTCCTTGCGCGCATTTGTGCCTATTACGCCCCTGGCAAAACTTGGGCGAAGGCTTTTGCAAAGTCTGTATATATTACATCTCATTCTTTTTTTCTCTAGTGCATTTAGGACCTTGTCGTAGTGACCATAGTTAGACGACAGGACGACCGTTCTAAACCCCTGTTGCCCGGGGTTTGAACTGAGGTTTCTAGAGGTGGGATCTTGCTTTTTTAGACCCTTTCAAAGATTTTTATGATATGGGATGTTAGTGCTATTGGGCTGTATTCTTTGCGTTGCTTTTTCGCCCCCTTTGTGGAGTGGGGGATGTCGTTTTTTTTTATAACTGAGGGACCCCCGTGTCCATCCCCTCCCATAGGAGGAAAAAAAGGCTCGTGATAGGGGCTTCTTGCAGTTCTTGATGAACACAGAGTTCCATGAGTCTGGCCCTGGGGCAGAGTGCATGGGCATGTCATTTATCGCCTGTTCGAAGTCATTTGGCGTCAGGATAACATCGGATAGGCTTGTGTTAATCAAATTTTGTGGCTCTCTCATAAAAAATTCATTTTGATCTTCGACTCTCAGTCTGGTTAGCGGCTTGCTAAAAACTGAGTCATATTGGGACTTGAGTAGCTCACTCATTTCCTTGCTGTCTCTGTGTAGGACCCATCTTGTTAAGTAGGGGCCCAATACTGGACGTTGTCTCGATTTTGTTTTGGCATAGGAGAAGAAATACTTTGGGTTTCTTTCGATTTCATTTATGGCTTTTAGTTCTTCCCGCGATTCCTGACTCCTAAAGGATTCTTTTAGCTTAAGTTCGATGCTTGCTATTTCTCTGACCAGTTTTCTCCCTGCGCATTTCTGATATATTGACCTCTTTTAGCCGCTCTGTTATTCTTTTTCCGTCGCCTGTAAAGGAGCGCCTGTCTCTTTCTATTTTACATCTACTCCTCCTTTTTCTTAGAGGAATAAGCCTTGTGCATACATCGAGTGCCACCGAGTTAATCTGTTCTGGGCATAAGT